AAAATTCACTATGTTACACAAACCTTTGACTCAGTGATACACCTATACTCCAGAGTGTTCAAAGGAAGAGAAAGAGACAAGAACCATAGGGATAGATAGATAGATAGATAGATAGATAGATAGATAGATAGATAGATAGATAGATAGACAGAGATATGTGTATATATACACATATACACATATATATAAAATATATATGCACTTTTATAATAAACAACTGGAAACAATGGGTGTTCCTAACAGTTGAGTAATAACTGAACAAATTATTGTATATAAATGTAATGAAATATAGGGCCATAAGAAATGGTTAAAGGGAAGAAACCTGAGAGGACTTGTACAGCTTCATATAAAGTGACCAAAACCAGGAGAACAATTTATATCAAGGGTTCCTAACTTGGGGTATATATACCCTAAATGGTATGAAAAATTTTTCAAGGAAATATGGGGAATATTTGGTAAATAACTATATTTTCCCTTTGAAATTTTCCAAAAGTAGTAGTGTCAGTAAAATAAAAATGCAGATTGGAGAGAGATGAGTAAGAAAGAAGGCAGAGAAGGAATTAAGAGTGAAAGTGTCATATGACAAAGGAAGGAAGGATTCCTCCTGATTAAAAAAAGTTAATGAGGTTTGTATAGAAAATTCTTTTCATATTGAGGTGTCAAAAATCAGCAAGAAAAACTAGTGAAAGATGAGCTAATTGATCTATGCAGTAATGAAAAACTGCAAAGTAATTTCCAATCAATGAAATTGCAAAATGTTGATCAGTGAAAGAACAAAATATTAAGCATATTCCATTCTTATTAAGCATACTCACAGGACTTTCATCTCATTTATGAAAACTTATCTCTGTGAATCAGGATTCTCAGTCCTGTTCTCAATCAAATCTAAAACAAACAAACAAAAACCCTGGAGGCAGAATATGATATATGAATGGCACAGTGGATAAAATGGAACTGAGTTCACATTCTGCCTCAGATACTTATTAGCTTAATGATCCGGAGTAAATCATAATCACTTTCAGTCAGAGTTTCTTAATCTATGAAATGATGATAATAATGGCATCTAAATCAAAGGTTGTTTTTAGGATCAAATGAGAAAATATATATAAAGTGCTTTGTGAATCTTAAAGCACTATATACATGTTCACTGTTACAAATGCTATTATATTTGAATATCTCACACATGTACACACACACACACACACACACACACACACAAAACCTATCCTGAGAATAAAAGTTTTGGTCGACAAGAATCAAGGGTCTCACTCATTTATTTGACTGTGTTCTAAAAAAACTTTTATAAATTTATGATACTAAAAATATTAGGTATTAAATTCTTTTTTTTCTTTTAAATAGTATTCTATTTTTCCAATTACATGTAAATATTTTAACATTCTTTTTTAAATAAAATTTTGAGTACCAAATTTTCTCTATCCCTCTGTCCCCTCCCTCTTCCCTAAGACAGCAAGCAATTTGATGTTATATATATGCATATTGATTTTTTTAATGAAAAATTAATCTCCATTGTATTTCTGTTGTGCATCTGCATAGTAAACTTTAGAATTTATTTCATTTTGTATTGAATGGAGGTACAGAAAAGTTTACTGAAGTGTACCAGTACCAAAAAAAAGGTTATGAATCACTGATTTATACTATAACTGCAACTCGTCAAGGAAGAAAACTTTCAAAGACCCAAGAACTCTGATCAATGCAATGACCAATTATAACTGCAGGAGACTGATGATATGACATGGTTCCCCACTATTGGCAGAGAAGTGATTTCTCTGTTCCTAAAGAATGAGGCATATATTTTCAGACACAACCAATATGTGAATTTGTCTTGTTTTTCTATACTTATGTGTTGCAAAGAGATTTATGTTTCGCAGGGAGGAGAGTTATAGGGCAGTAAAGGGGCAGAGTAGTGAAAGCGATTTTTAAAAGTGTCAGCAAAACATTTAAAAATACACAGAAGAGAGCAGAAAGAAATTTAGGAAGGGATTAACAAGCAAGGCAGTGTTGGTACTGTGTTAAATTTAACACGCAGTTTTAAAAAATTTTTGTGCAACAGAGATTCACAGTGTCATATATAAAACTTTTTTTTCTGTTCTTCATGAATAGAAATGTTGGTATTTGTTGATGTTTATAAAGAAAAAGAAAATTGGAAGGGGGAGGACAGTGGGTGAGAAAGAGCAATGGACCTGGATTCCAAAGACCTATACATTTGAAATAAATGTATAAAAGGATCAGAGGACTTGGAGCTGGAAAGGGCTTTAAGAGATGATCTGATACATCAACCTGCCTTCAGACAGACAGGTAAGGTATTATTCCCATTTTACAGACTGAATAACTAAAGCCCAAAGAGATTAAGTGAAGAAATAGACACTAAGAAAACCTTGCTGTGAAGGGAAAGGAGTAAAGTCTGAGAGTTCCTTGAGAAGAAATTTTTAGGGCTATTTATTCAATAGGTCTATATTAAGTGTCTAGTACCAATGAGCTGACAGTCTGTGTCAGTAGAATGAAGTATCCACACTGAGAGTTCCTAAAACTAATGAAATCATAAATCTGAACTGATATGTCATACACACACACACACACACACACACACACACACGCACACACAGCATTTTGTCAGGTACTGGTTATACAAAGATAAACAAGATGGATCTCTTTCCTCAAGAAATTTAAAGAATCAGAGATTTAGAGCTAAAAAAGGAGCTCGGAAGTCATCTGATTTAGTCTAGCTGAGGATTTTATAAATTATCTAGTCCTTCCAGGTGAGGAAGCTGAAGTCCAGAGAGCAATAACTTACTTGTTCAAGGTAACATACAAAGGAAGCACCAGAGGTAGAATTTAAGAAGACTCTAGCCCCAAGCCCAATTCCCTTTCTATTACATCACTCTGCCTAGTAACCTAGTGATAGAGTGAGACAAAAGGATAATGAAGTCTTCCATATGTGGAGTGAAACTAAATCAGTGGCCCAGAGTATACAAAGTCCAATGCAGAATCACCTTTCCTTTTATCTGAAACAGGGGTTCTTAAACTTTTCAGTGTTATAGCTGTCTTTGGCATTATAGCGAAACCTACAGAACTCTTGTGAAATTGTTTGTTTTTAATTAATAAATGAAAGAAATACAAGTTTCTACCTTGAGGTTAGTGAAAAGTTAGACAGACAGACAGATAGATAGATAGATAAATGTGTAGATAGATGTGTAGAAAGATGACAAATAGGTACATAGATGATAGATAAAAGTATAGATAGATAGAAGTATAGATAAATAGATGACAGCTAGAGGTGTAGATAGATGATAGAGGTGTAGGTAAATAGATGACAGATAGATAGATAGATAGATAGATAGATAGATAGATAGATAGATAGATAGATAGATAGATAATTGATAAACTATTTTTCCCTATAGAAGTTCACAGAACCTCTGTCTACGGTTGGGTGCATGGACCCCAGGTTAAGAACCTCCATCCTTCCACATTAACAGAGAACAATCATTTGTGGCCCCTGCTGTGGCAGACGCAAAGTGCTTAGATATTAACAGGTCATCTCAAGTGCAGAAATGTGCTTCCTTGCTCCCCTAAGAAAGCATGCTTCAATCTTGGTGATGCTGCAATAATGAATCTTGGTGATGCTGTAGTAATGAAATCCTTGTGCAAATAAAGTATAAAGCTATTTCTTTCCCTTGAAGGCAGAATTCACAGCAAAGTAACCTCTCTCCCTGAAGAGATTTTTTTTCCACAACAGTAGCTGAACAAACAATAGAAATCAGACACATGTGCTGAGGGACTATACTCCCATACAGTCACCTGAGGGGAGATTCAAACTGGGAGCTGAGGGTCCTCAGACTATATAGATCTGCAAAGTAAACAGGAGAGAAAGAATTAAGTATCTACAGAGAGGAAGTCTTGTAACAATTGAGCAATCATTAATATCAAGCCCTTTGCTCACAAATCACCGAAATCATTCATAAAGGATATTGTATCGTGTGTACTAACATCAAGTTCTCATAAGATCATTTAAAACGTGAGCAAATGGTATTTGAAGCGGTCTCCAACTAGAATTCTGATTGTTCCAAAGCCATTATAGATAGCAACCTACTGGTCCATTTAAAAAGAAAAAAAAACACTTTCCAAAATAGCACTCACCCCAGCTACACTCATTATCTTACATTATATATTTTCATTCTTCACTCAAATTCCTTTGGAAAAAAAAACTCCCCAGGTGTGTTTTAAGTCAAATAGATCTCTCCAATTTAGATTCACTATAGCTACGGCAGTGAGATGAATGAAAAGCCCGAGAGAAAGAGTTTCTGGATAATTAATAACTGATTTATTAATTAGGCTAGAAAATAACTGATAAATTGGTGGTCACTGGTTTCTCTAGTTAACCAAAGATAAAACCATGGAGACTGCAGAATTTTTAAATACCTTTGGAAAAGGGGAGTGGGCCCTGAGGTGAAAATCATCCCCGATTAGTGAACAATTAATGTGGGGGGAGTCTTTCAAATGTAGATATGGGCTAAAAGTCTTCAGCTCCTCCTGCTGATGATGTGACTTGATCTTGCAATTCAGCTGCCTCCAGCAATCTGGACGAAGGAATCTACTCAGACCTCTCTAATTGGTTTTCTCCTTCATTACTCTTCTCCTACGATTATCCTAGACCACCATAGGAGGGCTTCTAGGATTTACTTCGTAAGCAAGAATTCACCTAGATTATTCACCTCTTTGCAAAATCTTCTAGTAGGATAGGGTCCCACCCAAGATCTCAGAATAGAGCATATACCTGGAGGATTTGAACAATCTCATCTACCAGAATGTGTTTCAGAGACTGACTGACTAACTGATCTACAGGGATTGGTCCCTGGATGAGGAAATAAAAAGGAAAAACCTTAATCTTAATTTAATAATTAGTGATTAATAAAATAGAAAAATAATCACTTCTCTCAATATCCATTTTATCATTACAAGATTAGAACGTTTTGTCTCTATTTTATTCTATGTGCAGATTTCAGATTAAACAATAATTTCATATTGTCCCTGTAGATGAGAAGATACTTTTTACTTCCGCGTTGGCCTTCGGAGTCTGGACAAAATAGGTTGGAGTACATGGGCTCCCATCTGTGTGGAGTTTTAGCTTCTTCCTTGATGCTAAAAGCCAAGTAAAATAAATACCACATGAGTGATGCTAAGTTGGACTTATCATTTAGAGCAGAGAAAAAAAAAATCCACCTGAGAGACAAGTTTTTGCTTCATTGTTGAAATTTTTGTACATTGTTTAATGTATTCAGGGATAGAAGACAAGCTCAAGTTTGGTTCCATTCCACTCAAGAAACATTTATTATGTGTCTGCTCTATGTTAGGTGGCATGCTATAATGGTCTCCTATCTATTTGTTCGCACAACTCTACAAGTGAAAAAAATTTATGCATGGAATCCCCTAGTTTCCGTCAGGGCTTTTCCTGGTTTCTACTAGCTTCTAATGCCTTCCCCCAAAATTATTTCATATTTATTTATTTTTACATTATCTCCCCCAGATAGATTATAGGATCCTCAAGAGCACAGACTTTCACTTTTGTATTTAGATCTATAATGCTCCCGTGCCTAATAGGCCCTTTACAAATTATTGATTTATTGTTGCCTTCTATCAAGTCTACTGGACTAAGATGCTGCCCCCTTTTGCCTCCCAGGCTCTACTTACTGTCCCAGCTCCTTGCTCAGACTTCATCTCTTCTCATAATCACCAACATCTGCCCAGACCTTGGAGCAAGATAAAGAGGAAAAAGAAGGACCAGAATGTTGCCACTTTCTCCTCTTTTAAGTGCCACCCTGGAAACCTGAGGAACAAGCCCCATCTATCCTTCTTGCTGGCCCTGGGCCCTGTGGCCCCTTGAGAAGATCCTGAGACTACCCCCTGCTGTTGACACCCAAGGTATATGTTCTTCTAAAAGGATACAATAGTGCACAAATAAGCATATCATAAAAAAAAAATTCAGGAAGGAGACAGCATGGACAGCTAAGAGGAAAGCGTCACAGAAGAAGTGAAGGTGATGGAAGATGAGGAAATTAGTTGGAGGTATTATCTCTCTAAGAAGAGTGAAGGTAAGTTAAAACTACATGTTATGGTATACCTCCAGATAGGAAATAAGTCTGTGTAAAATGTAAGCAAAGCATATTCCCCTGGACTGGAGAATGGGTAAAGAAATTGTAATACGTATACATACACACATACATATGTATGTGTGCATGTATATATATATAGATAGATATATAGATAGATAGATAGATATCTACATATATGATAGAATACGGTTATGTTATAAGAAACAATTAATATGATGACTGTGGAGAAGCAGAAGAAGACTTATATGAACCAATGTAAAGTAAAGTCAGCAGAACCAGGAAAACATCATATACAATAACCACAATAAAGTAAATAGAGAGAATAAAAACAGAACAGTTGAATTGAATGCTGTGAAATTATAATGACCAAGCTCGGTGTAGAAGAGGAGAAATGGAAAGACATACTTCTCATTTGCAAAGGTGGGAGACTATGAGTATGGAACATTGAAGATAACACTGTTGATTTTTTTTTATATATTGGTAAGTTTTGGTAAGCTTTTATTCCCTTCTTTTGAATTCTTTGTTAGAAGGATGGCTCTGAGTGGGAGGAGCAAGAGGAAGACTATCTTGGGAAATGTAGGTGATATAAGAACAGAAGATAGCAATTTTTTTAAAAGAAAAGAAATAGGTCTATGTAGGAGTCTTGTTTCAATAAAAGATTACTTTCAGGGACAGCTAGGTGGCACAATGGATAGAGCACTGGCCCTGGAGTCAGGAGGACCTGAGTTCAAATATTACCTCAAACACATAACACTCACTAGCTGTGTGACGTTGGGCAAGTCACTTAACCCCAATTGCCTCACCAAGCAAAAAAAGAAAAGAGTACTTTCTCCATAAGGATATGACCAGTGATATACTGGTAAGCGTTTAACAATCAATTTTCTGAAAGAAAATGGACAAGATATATATTTAAGATAGGTCAGCATTATTAACATTTTTATATCACTTTAAGTCTAGACAATAAAAAAAATCAATCACTAATTTGTAGTAGTCTTTTCCAATTTCTGAAGTGTAAATGCTCACACTGAAAAATTTAATAATCAGCTTTCATGAACCTGTACAAGCTGGCTCTAGCATACCCCTGAATGTGCCCAATGTTTAGCACACTAAGATTGTGACAGAGGAACAGGATGGAGGAGGGAGGAAGAGAGTGAGAATATTTTGCATCATTCTGAAACAAAACATACATGGTTTGGGAATGGCATTGTGGGTTATTTTGTGCTATCAGCACTTCTTCCTTCCATTAACACACAAAATAATTGAGAGTGTCAAACTCAAATAGAAATGGATCCTACTAGAAGCATGTTGACTAAGAAAACCAAAAATCAACATTATCTGTATTGTATTGTATTCTTTCTTATTTTGTTAAACATTTCTCAATTACATTTTGATCTGACTTGAACCATACTGGTGAGTTCAGTTGGCCATTAACAGCTTTAAGGTTGATACCTCTAGTTTGAGGTACCTTCATTCAGTTTAGAAATATATGCCATGTGCATGCTTCTTTGTATAAATAAGCCTTCTGTCCAAAACTGGTTTTTGTTCTTAGAAGATTCAAGGAACTTATGGCATGATTAATGAGTTAATGTTATGAATCTGATCAAGAAATATATAAATATCCATAATGCCTCCAAAGAGGGTGAAATGGGCAGCAACAACAGTAGCCCAGAAACCCTTTCTCATGATGCCACAGGCACAGGCACAGGACCAAGAGAAAGCAATAAGGAGATTCCTGGTGTCATGGTCTCAGGGAATGAAAGCTGGCAGTGGCATAGTCAGTAGCTGCCAGCTGAGCCACAAGGATTTCTTGGTTCAAGCTATGAGCTACAGGAGTTAGGATGACTGGCAGACTGTGCTGAATGATGGAAGTGGTTAAGAACCAGGAATAAAGCCAGTCAATGCCTACACATGTATAATCTATATCAAATTGCTTGCCTTCTCGAGGAGGAGGAAGGAGGGAAAGGAGAGGATTTGAAACTCACCATTTTTCTTAAAATGAATGTTAAATGTTAAAAATGAAGGTTAAAAATTTGTGCTTACACGTGATTAAGAAAACATTTAAAAACTAAATATTTTTTTTTTAAATAAAATAATGGTCTTGGGGGGGAAAAGAGAGTCAGTCAATGCTAGAGCAATAGGGAACAATACGAAGACCCAGAGAAATGGAGATGGGCATCTGACACCAGACTGACCCTGAGACCTGAGAGCACTTGAGACAAGGACGGGACTGGTGGGAACAGTGTTCTGTGGGGATTATGACTCATTCTCTATGATACTCAGGGGAAAGTAGGCTATAACTACGCCTTTGCTGATGGAGCTCAAAGGTGACTCCCTTTTACTATCGTTTACATGCCAATTAATAAACCTGTTCTACATTTAAACACTTATTGTTAACCTGATGTTCACAGTGAAACTGGAAACCCACTCATAGAGATCTGGAAATAAGCCAAATTCAGATGTCAGCTCCCATGAGTTTAATCATCATTTCTCTGCAAATGATTTCCAGATCTATAAATCTAGCCCTGTTCTCTATCCTGAGCCCTAGATCCACTTCCCAACTGACTGTTGGATATTTCAGACTGGATGCCCTGTAGTATTTCTAAGTCATGTTCAGAGAACTCATTTTGTTTCTACCCAAACCCACGTCTCTTCCAAATTTCTTTTTTTTTCTATTAAGGTACTATCACGTTATAGTCATGAGAGTTCATAACCTCAGTATCATCCTAAACTTCTCACTCTCATTTTCCTCATACATCCAGTAAATAGCCATATTTTATTATTTCTAGTTGTATAGTATTACTCTAGTATCAATACTATCAATCACCTTCTCTCTATTAATATGGCCACCAATATAGTTCTGGCCCTCATCATCTATACTATTGCAGCAGCCAAGAGGTCTCCCTGCCTCCAGTTTCCCTCCTTCCAATCCATACTCCACACACCTGCCACTGTGTCACCCCTCTAGTCATTAAATTCCAATGGCTCCCTATTACTTCTAAGATCAAATACAGGGTCCCAAAAGTCTTAGTGCTGTTTTAAGCTGCATTAAGACTTTAAGACTTTTGAGACACACTACATAAACTCCTCCATTTGTCTTTTAAATACCTTCATAATTTCTCTCATTCATTTGAAAGTTTATGTGCCCAATCATTTCAACAATCTATAAGAAAGCAGAGAATTAAGAATTTAGAGATGAAAAACAAAAATAACCAATTGCCTAAAAAAGAAAAAGAAAAACATAAACCTCCAAACAAAACAAAACCTGAAGAGTCAAAAGGAATGTCAAAATTTATGCACTAAATCTCATGCTTTAGGATATATTCTCATGCCCTCACTTGAGGACTGTTTTACTCTTATTTTAGTTACAATTCAAAGGACCTCTGTTATCTACTTACCAATTCTTCCCCAATGTATTAAAAACTATAAAGTAGAAGTGCAGATGAGGGTGTGTGTTAGAGGAAGGCATAATGAGATCACCGAGAAGTGGTAACCAGCATATAGACAAGAAAAGAAACAGAAAAACTATTTTTAAAAAAAAGTATTTGCTTTAGAATTTAAAAGAGAAGTACAGATTGCATTTGAGACTAGGAAATGAGGAGTAATCAAGTATCATTATCTGCCTAGGAGGCATCAAGCAGCACTGAGAAGCTACAGTGACCCAAGTGGGAAGGTAAGTTTCTATTGGCTGCAGATAAATGAGGGCTAACTTTTCATTCCAGGGTTCCAAATATTTTACCAGACAACCAGGCGCCCCCTAACACGTTTCATCTCTACCACAGATGAGCTCGAGGGTATTATCTTCAACTTCTGTCAGAAGATTGGAGTACTATGAGAATTTGAGGAAGAATATTGAATACAGGTATTAGCATGCACAGAAAAGGAATTCCCCCTTTGTTTTCCTTGAATAGAGGAACTAACTTGGAAAGTGGTTAGAGATAGATGGATGGACAGGTAGATAGGTAAGATAGAGAGAGAGAGAGATAAGATAAGATAAATCGATAAGATAAAATGGATAGATTTATTGAACATTTATTCAGTAAAGTCTGGAGTACAAATATAATCAAGACAGTTCCTGCCCTCCCAAAGAACTAACATTCTAATATGGGGAAGAAAATACATAAAGAAGAGTTGGAAAAGGGGGAGAAAGGTGACATGGGTAGCATTGGATCCTGAGGGTTCTAGGAAAGATAAAGTAAAGGGTCACCTATGGGTGACCTCGGGATATTTAAAGCCCCCAAACTGTTATATAAGGACTCATCGAATCTGGGGAGAGATGCTAATTTGATAGCACAAAGTGAGCAAGTGCTATGAAGAATACTTTAGGATATATTCTCATGCCCTCACTTGAGGACTGTTTTACTCTTATTTTAGTTACAATTCAAAGGACCTCTGTTATCTACTTACCAATGCTGGAAGGCAGTGCTGGGTATTAGTAGACTGCATTCAGGGGAGAGACTAATAGCAGAAGCTAGGAAGAGTGAGGAGCTGGTGCATCCTCACTGTTAGCTCTTGTCTGGAGTTTTCAAACATTCAGGGAGAGACTCTCATCCCTAGATTTTGTAGCATAAAGCCTTGGCTACATGCATTTCCATGCCATCACAGTCTCATTCATATGGTGACAAGATCTACATATACCTATAGGAGACAAGACATAACATAATTGCCTTTTTAGTAGACTAGCACATTATCAGAGAACACAGAAATGTCTGTATGATCGAAGATTTCTTGGGATACTTATACAAGACAGTTATACCAGAGATACCTATAGAGAACAGTTTTACCTTTCCTAGGGTCTCAAAGTCTTAAATAATAGATTTCAAGCTAAAAGGGTTCCAGAGGTCACCTAGTTCAGCTCCTTCATTCTATAAATGTGAGAAAACTAAAGCTCAAGAAGGCTGTCATTTGGCCAAGACCACATAGGAAGTAAACGTCAGAGGTAGAATTTAAACCCAGATTCTTTAGCTCCAGACATGGTGTGCTTGCTGGCATGAGGTAGGTTAGCTCTTTTCCCTACTGAAAAGGCAAGTCACTCAAAAATGGCAATGTCATGGCTAGTCAAATATCTCTAGGCAATAGTCACTCCCATTCTTTCTATTTAATCACTGCAGCTAACCATGCCTTCCACTCTGAAAGATGAAATCAACTCAGAAACTCACACCTCCCCCAAACCCTCTGTCTCTGGGGCCCCTTTCTCCCTCTTATTGAAGAGAGTGGAGGTTTGACATTAGAGAGCTCCCCTCAGATCCTCCACTATTTAAAGGGAATTTACATCACCATTTCCCACTTGGCTGCTTTCCTAAACTTCCTGATCTCCAGAAATTTATCATTCTGAAAGATGAAATCAACTCTGAAAACTTCCCTTCCTCAGATGATTCCCCTCCCCAGCTGCAGAACTTCATCATGCCCTCCCAACCTCCCTCTCCCCTGCCCACCTTCTTTAGCTTCCTTTTTTGGGTTGTCTCTCCTATCAGATTGTGAGTTCCTTAAGGGCAGGAACTATCACACCTTTCTTTGTAGCCTCAGCACTTAGCATGTTGCCTGGCACACAGTAGGCTCTTAATAAATGTTAATTGACTCTGACTCTAACTCATGATTTAATGTGCTACTCATCTTCTAGAGACTTAGTGTATAGACCATGACATAATTTTCTGGACATAGCCCATGCTAAAATGTGTTTTGCTCAACAATACACATTTGTAACAATGGTTTTCTTTTTCTTGCTTTCTCAGTGAGGCAGGGAATGAGGGAGAGAAGCAGATAGGAGAGAGAGAAGACAGATCCCTGTTTGAAAATCAAATAAAATGTATTTTTTAAAAGTAAAATGAAAACAATACCTAACAATTTTAATAAACATGTTTTCTTCATGCCAGAAAAATGGTTCGGTTATTTGAAATATATAGTCCAATTCAATTACTTAAGACACAGTATATAGCTGCTCCCTGATGCTCAATGGAACTCGCCAAATATTTAAGTGCCTGCTACATGCAAGGAGCTATGTTAAGTATTAGAGATATAAAGTCAAAAATAGAAAAAATGTTTAAATTCCTGCCCTCAAAGAATTGCTTCAAAATAGAAAATAAAAATAATTCTTGCCCTCAAGGAGCTGCCATTCTATTGCTGTTTCACTAATTTTCATGCCAACATCTTCCCTTGCATCATAATTGGGAATTGGTACACAGAGATGTTCATGGATTTTTGTATTAATCTGGGCCGTGCCTTGCATTGCTTCTGAGGTCACACAGCCTATGATGAACAAGTTATAATAAAGCTATGAAATAAAATGTAAAATTAGTGAGTAGTTACAGCTGACCTTCTTCCTGCTTCCCATCCCAAAGTCAAGGATCAAGTAGGACAATGAGTACACTTAGCAAAGGTTGGGGCTCTCTGTGAGGAGTGGACCTGGCTCAGGTCTATCCTCTATGAGTTTAGATTCAGATAAATGATACATTTATGAGCCATTCAACATTTTTAAAAAGAGGTTTACTTAGCTATGGCATAGACAACACATTCCACAAGGATATTCTAGGCTACTCCTTGTCTCTTTATGGAAATGTGTTTGGTCAGTAGGGCAGAGTGTAGTGATTCTAGGGGTCTTAGGGTATCAGTCAAGTCTGAAATGCCTCAACTCCACAAGTGAGCCTTTTATCCCCTTAGGTGACCAGAAAACTGTATCAAAGAAAATGAAGCTTGAGCCTTGGCCCCTCTGGGTTAATCAAGTCCTAAGGGCAGCTTTGTCTCCTTTCAGAGGAAAAATAGCCTAAATTTTACAAGGGAAAGGGTTAGGCTAGTAGTGTTCTCACCACATCCCCAGAGAATCTTGTGCTTCTTATGAGGACAGGGCCTCTAGAAGAATCTACATTTCTTAAAGCAGAATGGAATTTACTAATGGGCCTAGTCCTTGGGAAACTAGGTACCTAGCAGCATAGTTGACCAATGGAAGGTCATTGGAGAAACATCAACACCCACTTACATGAATCCCCTTAAGTCAGAAAAGGAACCATTATCAAAGTCTCAATATGCAATCTGTTTTTAAAAGACTCCTATCAATCATTTTTTAAAGCAAGTTTTGGCACTTAACTAGGTAAGCTGTATTAACTAGAAAATGCATTTTTGTGGAGCATCTCATTCCCTAAAGATACTAGATAGATAAGACATTACAATATTCAGAATTAGTGTACACTGTTAAAGAAAAATGAAAGAGCACTGAGTGGGCAGAGGAAATAGTATGAGAAACTCTTAAGGAAAATTGGGGCTTCAGGTTTTGAAATTAGAAAAACATAATCTGTAGAGTCCCCCTTGAGATAACTTGTAAGGAGGCCAATTTGGTGTTATTTCTAGGCCTATCTATTTCTGGAGTCAATTTGATATGCCCTTTGGGAGTCAAGCACCTGGGGCTAATGTCAAGGGAGCTCTGATGCATGAGTCCTGTATCTTCTGGGAAGCAGTAGGAGGCAGGTGCTTCCCCTACATAGTTGATAACACAGGGAGATCTGAACCATACCAGTGCTCCAAAGACTTTGGCTCATCTGTCATTCCCACCATGGAGCTTCAAACCAGAGCTATCAACAGGAAGAAAACCAGAGGCCACTGAGTTTATTTACTGCTTTCTCCACCAGTTATTAGTCTGGGAACAAATAGAAGACACCCTAGTAAATAAAATGGTTCAATGAGAGAGATGAGGAATCTACTCAAACTCTGTCAGGGAAGGGGTTGATACTCCATTTCTAGCATGATTCCTGATTTCTACATGATACCCTTTCTGAACAGGCCTGAAGTCTTTTCTCTCCTCTGAAGCTATTCTACTTTTAATAATGTTTGGAGAATATAAAGATACATTAATAAAAGAGCTTTCAAAGTGGATGGTGCAATAGCTAAACAAATTGTTGTTTTTGGTTTATAAAATGTAATTTTATTTTATATAACTTTGCTGTTACATAGGGCATGACATTTTCACAAGGCTTTTTGGGGATGGTAATCAATGATTAGCAACACACAATAATGGTTAAAACTTTCTAAGTAACAATCACTGGACAAACATGACAGCCATGCACAAATCTGCATGGAAAAGTACTAAAAATGTTAGGCCTGGACTTATGTATTTCCAATCTCCCATTTTAGTGTATTAAGAAATGACATGCACTTTATACATGATTGGGATGGAATATTACTGTGCCCCAAGTAACAATGAATATGAACAATAAAAAGAAAAATGAGATTTATATTAATTTATGTAAAATAAATGAAACAGAAACAGGAAAATGATATACAAAATTACAACAATGGAAATGAAAAAGAACAAAAAATTTAACCTGGATGTTTTATAATTATAATGATCAAGCTTGTTCCCAAAGAAGACATAAGAAAATGTGCCTCATTTCCCTTCTCTGCAGAGGTGGGGGACTGTGGGTGTGGAACATTGTATATATTGCCGGACAGTGGATGTGATGGCCAGTTTTTTCTAATTTTAGTGGTATAATGAATAGAAACGTCTTGGAGCCAGAAAAACTTGAAATGAACTCTCACACATGCTGGACAAATCACTTAACCTCTCAACATTCTAGTTAGCGCTTTATGAGAAGAATTCTTACTCTAGCGTCTGAGGATAAATAATACACGATAGACATATAGATTATAGATAGATAGAGAGACAGATAGATAAACTGTTTCAATATATTTGGTTTCCTTTGCAATCCCACATCTTTTATGCATTTAAAAATATGATTCTTAGAAGGGATTGGTAGACTTCATGAGAATGCCAAAGGAGTTCATTACACACACAAAAAGGGTAAGAATCTCTGATCTAAGACTATAAGATATAGGAAGGTATCAATCTGTTAGTAGAGAGACTTCCTCTATCTCAGAGTATCCCTGGTACAGTGGATAGAGTACCTGGCCTGGAGTCAAGAAATTCAAATTCGGCTTTAAATAATGCACCAGTTGTGTGACCCTACATCTCTGCTTTCCTCTCTGGACTCCACCACCTTGCCACAGAAACCTTTTAACTCTTAAAGTTCATGCTGCCATTGGCCTTCTGACCCTGGAAGTTAGGATGAGAGGTGTTGCCCCTTCCTCTGAATTGTTGTCCCTACCTTTGCCAACACCTCCATTTTAAGGGAAGTTCCCAGGCCAGCCATGTCTTCATTCATCTCCCAGCTTTACTCCTGACTGTCTGGACTTTCTTGACCATGTCTCACTTTGGGTATCTTCTCCTCACCCTCACCTTTTATGTGTTGTCTGCCTCCATTAGAATGCAAATTCCTTTAGGGCAAGAACTGTTCTTTTTGCTTGTATTTGTATTCCCAGTGATTATCACAGAACCTGGCACATAGTAAGTGCTTAATAAATGCTTGTTGATTTATTGGCCTACCTCATAGGGTTGTTATAAGAACCAAATAAGATAAAATATGTAAAGTGCTTTGCACAACTGCTATATAAATGCTATCCATTATTATCCCTGTCCACCTCTCAAAATCCTACCCATTTTTTAAATCCCAGCTTAAGTGTCACCTCCTCTATAAAGCCTTCCCTGATTCTCTCCAGCTACAGCTGATCTTTCCATCCTATGAATTAGTGAAGCCCACTTTCTACCAGTTACTGATAATCAAATCAACATTACCGTTGCT